GGCTGACACTCTAACTGCTGAGACAAACCGGTCAGGGCAAGAAAAGTAATCTTAAAGTCTTACCAGACTGTGGATGCTGGTAAGTGTAGAACAGAGACTGTGGGACTCTGAAGCAACTACCAAGTCCAGGTGAGGATTAAATTGATCAGATAAGAATGGTGGTTCAAGAAAAGCACTCTGGATGTATGTTTCAAAAAGGGGCAACTAGATTTTTTAATGTGGAGGGAGTGAGGGTGAAGCACAGGCTTCTGTGATGATGCCAGGGGATTTGGTCTTAGCTGAAGTAATTAAGCTCCATTATCTATGATGGGAAAGAATATAGTAGGAGCACTATTCACAAAGAGCTTTGTTTTGGCCATGTTAGAAGTCTGAGGTGTTTCAGAGACCAATGAATGGAAGCATGAGGTGGGTAACTGGATACAGTTCTGGAAATCTGGGAAGGGTTCATTCAAGACGCAGGCATCTAAAATGTGGTGGGTTCTGTATGGACCCAGGTGAGTGAGCTGTGGTCAGACTTAGGAGTAATCTTCAGGCAATGGTCTTAAAGCTATTAGGGGGCCAGGTAGGAGAGGGGAGGGGCCCTTGTTTCTGTCTAAATATTCAACAATATAATAAATTAAGCCATGATTTGTACTCTTTGCCAATATCCCTGGTGTATATACTCTCACTGCAGTCAATTTAAAACTATCAACATGATGTCACTGCAGATGAAGTTGGAGAGTTGCCTGTAGCGCAGCGATACATTATATTTCTACCATACTAATTCAATAGCAAGAAACAACCTCAAGAACATAGAGAATAAGATGTAGTGAAATAATTCAGAAGCAAGTTTATATGTATATATTTTTTAATAGTTTGAGGGATAACTGACTTGATGGTTTTATGCATGCTTAAACCAAAAGTTTCCTACCTTTTTTTTCCCCAAATCCATTTCATTTACTATTCAGTAAGTTTAATTCCTTGAAGGGTACAGCAGTACATGATTCTGTGTCCAATGTACTTAGTAGGAAGGTCGCGGGGGGGGGGGCGTAAATGGTGGGGGTGAAGATAGAGGAACATCGATTGCTTCCCTCAAGACCTGGGCCAGGGATGAACCCTGCAACCTAATTACGTGCCCTTAACTGGGAATCAAACCCGAGACCCTTTGGTATAAGCGTTGAGCCAAAGAAGCCAGGGGTCTTTCCCCATTTTCTTTTTTCTTTTATCCTCACCCAAGGACACTTTTCCATTTTGTGTGTGTGTGTGTGTTTTGTTTTTTTTTTATCCTCACCCGAGGACATTTTCCATTTTTTTTGTTCAGATAGAGTGGGAGGGAGAGAGAGGAAGAGAGAAAGAGAGAAACATCGACGTGAAAGGGACACATTGAGTGGCTGCCACCCACATGACCAACCAGGGTTGGGGACAAACTGCAACCGAGGTACACGCCCTTAGCAGGAACTGAACCTGGGTCTCTCTGCACTGCAGGCCGACGCTCTAACTGCTGAGCCAAACCGGCCAGGGCCCCATTTTCAATAGTTTTTATTTTGTATTTGTTCTTACAAATTATTGGCTGAATACAAGTAATCACTTTTTAAAAAATTATATTTTTTGACTGGGAAATTGATTCCACAACCTGGACATGTGCCCTGACCAGGTATCAAACCAGCGGCTTCTTGGTGCATGGGTCAATGCACAACCACTGAGCCACACTAGCTGGGTTGAATACAAAAAATTTATATTTGATACATCTGGAAACACAAAACTGTGTGACTATTTAGCTAGTGCACAGCATCACGGCCTAGAAGCTAACATTTCAGGTACCATATTAGATGAGAACCCTGTGCAAAAATTCTGATATTGACACTTTACACACCTTGGACACATCACATGTGATATTTGCAGGATGTAGAGAAGCCAGACATGGTCTAGCTTCCCAGGAGGAAGAGGAAATGTTCTTAGGGACTGGAAGGTATTGTTAGTCATCGATTTGCATTTTATTTAGAATGACTTGGAGGATTGGTCAGGTATAAAGTCACCTGCTGGAGGAGTGAGGAGGAAGAGCCTGACCTCCTTCAGTTTTTCACCAAGTCTCCCAATGTTCATGATACTGACAGTTGAGTAGTGGGTGACAGCTGAGTACTAGGGCACTGATCGGAGGGAGCACCCTGCAGTCATATTAGGAAGAAAACCAAATGGGTTTAAAAGAAATCAGCCCTGGCCAGTTTGGCTCAGTGGTTAGAGTGTTAGCTCTCTATGAAAAGATGCAGAGGGTGGTATCGACTGAACTGTACATCCCAAATCATCAGGCCCTATCCCTGTGACTCAGAATGTGACTATTTGAAAAAGGAGTCTTTAAAAGGTAAAATAAAGTCAACTGGGAAGTCTGGTGTACTTACAAGGAAATTAAAACCCAGTGACACACAGGGTAACATCATGTGAGGACACAGAAGCTAGCCATCTGCCAGCCAAGGAGAGAGGCATCAGGCCAAACCAACCCTGGTGACACCCTGCCCTGACTTCTAGCCTCTGAAGATGTGAGAATATAAATTTGTTGTTTAAGCTGTTAGTGTAAAGTACTTTGTTATGGCAGCCTGAGCAGACTAAAACAGGAACAATTGTCATCTGGAAAAGAGGGATCTGCAGGACACCCTGGTCATAAAGAAGGACCCAGGAGGGGTATTCCTTGGTTTGCAACCTTGCTGGGAGGAAAGGACGACAAAGAGGGCAAGACTAACTTAAACACTAAACTGTGGGATTAGAATTCACTCCTGGATCCCCAACCTCCCTGAGAAGCAGAAGAGCCTTCCCCCTCCAAATCCAGTCCAGGTTCACTATCCACAAGTATAAAGTGGGGATAGATAGCAGACCTACCTCAGACTGTTGGAGGATGTATAGAGCTCAATAGTCTAGGAAGAGGATAGCCTTTTAAGTCCTGATATTTCTGCAAGACGGTGAAAATGGGGAATTGAGAGGCAGTGCCTTCGGGGAGAAGCCACTGAAAAAGCTGTATTTATAACTGAGGGATCTTCCTGTGATGAGAAAGTTGGTCATGTTCCCACCCGTCTCTTCTGACACTCTGATCCCCCAGCCATGGGAGTACAATTAGGGACAACATAGCCTGGGCCATCCAAGCACCACCATGAAGCTCCATGAAAGAGGCAGCCATACCAAAAGGGCCCTTTGAACACCTACACATGGATTTTTTTCCCCAACTGTTACCCTCCATGGGATTTGAATGTTTTCAGGTCATGATAAACCTTTTTTTTTAAAAGCTTCAGCTGTCAGTTGCTAAAATATTTTTGTTTCTACCTGGGATCATCCTAATATTTTATATTGAGTGGCCATGTAACCCACATTCTGGGGACCATTATAAAATAACTCTGTATGGTGTTACCTCTGACTCAAAAATTACACTTTCTTTTTTATCACCCACAATTTTCTGGAAAAGTTGAAAAACAAAATGGCATTCTTAAATATGAATTAGCCAAACTTTTAGAAATCTTTGAGATTCTTTGGCAGGTACTCTCACTAGACCTTATGACCACATAGTCTACTCACCGAGGGCCCAGTCATTTATCCCTGTTTGAAGTACTGACTAGGAGACCAGTGAGTCCAGGGATTTCACCTCCAATACCAGTCTCTAATCTACTATTTGCAGACATGGCAAAATATTACAGGGAACACACGTACTACATTCAGTCCCTCTCACCAACTCCTTATGGCCACCTTTTGGTTCTGAGAAGAATTATGGGAGGCGGGAGTGCTGGCTATCTTTCAAAGTGAAGCCAAAAAAGTATGACTTAGCCTTGGTTAGTGTGGCTCAGATGGTTGAAGTGTCATTCCATACACCAGGTCACAGGTTTGCTTCTCAGTCAAGGGACATAGCCAGGTTGTGGTTTAATCTCAGGTCAAGGTGCATAAGGGAGGCGATCAATCGATGTTTCTGTCTAACATCAGGGTTTCTTCTCTTCCTTTCCCTCTAAAAATCAGTATAAACATATCCTCGGGTAACATGCTACAAATGTATGTATTGATCATTCCCCAGAAGGAATTCCCAACACCTAATCTTTCACGTTCCCAAATACAAGGTACATTTTCTTTAAAAAAAATTTTTTTTAAAATTGATTTTAGAGAGAAGAAAGGAGAGGAAGAGAGAAACATCGATGAGAACATCGATTGGCCGCCTCCTACATGCCCCACACTGGGGATCAGGCCCACAACCTGAGCAAGTGTCCCTGTGGGATTTATTTTAGCCACCGATCTAACCTTTGATCAATGTTTCTATCTCTCTCTCTTCCTCTCTCTGAAATCAATAAAAACATATTTAAAAAAATAAAAAATTAGAATTTCTGAACTGCTAAAGTTGTAATGAAAAGGTTAATGTTCTATTAATCTGACAAATGGAAATCAAAAAAGTATAGTTGATACACGTCTGTATCATAGTTGGATTATTCAGGGGCAACTCAAGTTTTTAAATTACATGACAAATATTGAACTGCATAAAACATTAACAGTTTAACCATTTATCAGTGAACACAGATGCTAAGTGGTACATATAGATCAACAGACTTAAAAGACACATGTAATAAAAGCCATACAGAAAGATCTTGCCAGGTAGATTCGTTGGTTCAAAGAGGTAGTCTTTCTCAGCTGAGGACAGGTCCTCTGGACAAACACTGGATCAGATCCATACTGTAGTCAGAGAGAAAAGAATGAGGATTCTGCCAAAAGCTCTGAGTATTCATAATTTCCTCAAGCAAAAGGGAGAACACAGAGGTCAGATGATTGACACATACTATGCAGGTGAGCCAGGAAGTAGAGGTTAAATGGCTTCAGCCACAAAAAGTGACATCAATTTGTTAATAGACCTAGACAGGTTAGAAAGAAAAATGCAGGTCTTTAAAGATGCACTCGAACCTGAAACAGTTGAGAAATCTAGAATGTCGTTATGTTTTGCTAAAAAAGATTTAAATGCATGTAAATAGTTCTCAACGAGTTTCCTCCAGTATTGTACTGAGTGAACAAATAAAACCTTAGCACATTTAAGGCTTTTCCCCATTGTGAACTCTCTGGTGTTGAAAGAAGCCCAACCTCTGGTTATAACATTTTCCACAGTTGCCACACATAGGTTTTTGCCAGAAGGAACTTGATGGTGTTGAATAAAATAGGAATGGTCTCTAAAGAATGTCCCACGTTGCCCTGGCGGGTTGGGCTCAGTGGTTGGAGCATTGGCCTGTGTACCAGAGAGTCCCGGGTTCAGTTCCCACTAGGGGCACATACAAAAAAAAAAAAAGTCCCACGTTCACTATATTCTATGGTTTTTCTGCAGGATGAATTCTCTGGTAAATAACAAGATTGGATTTGTAACTAAAGAAATTCCCACAAACATTGCACTCATTTGACTTTTATCCACTGTGTACTCTGGTGTTCAATGAGCCTGGAGCTTCGGGTAAAGGGTTTCTCACAATCTCTACACTCATATGGCTTTCTCGCAGTATGAATTCTCTGGTGAATAATGAGGTGAGATTTGTAGCTAAAGCATTTCCCACAATTGCTACACTCATTTGGCTTTTTTCCAGTATGAATTATCTGGTGATTAATATGGTTAGATTTGTAGGTAAAGTATTTCCCACAATGATCACACTCATACAGTTTTTCTCCAGTATGAATTCTCTGGTGATTAATAAGGTGAGATTTATAGCTAAAGCATTTTCCACAATCACTACACTCATTTGGCTTTTTTCCAGTATGAATTCTCTGGTGGTTAAAGAGAGCAGAGCTTTGGCTGAAGGACTTTCCACAATTGCTACACTCATATAGCTTTTGTCCAGTGTGAACTCTCTGATGTTTAAAGAGGGCAGAGCTTTGGCTGAAGGACTTTCCACACTCAATACACACATATGGCTTTTCTCCAGTGTGAGCTCTCTGATGTCGAATGAGTAGACATTTGTAGCTAAAGAGTTTCCCACAATAACTACACACATATGGCTGTTCTCCAGTGTGAACTTTCTGGTGATGAATGAGGGTAGAGCTTCGGCTGAAGGACTTCCCACAATCTCTACACTCATATGGCTTTTCTGCAGTATGAATTCTCTGGTGAGTAATGAGGTTAGCATTGTAGGTAAAGCATTTCCCACAATCACTACACTCATATGGCTTTTCTCCAGTATGAATTCTCTGATGATTAATGAGGTGAGATTTGTAGTTAAAGCGTTTCTCACAATTACTACACCCATATGGCTTTTCTCCAGTGTGAATTTTCTGGTGTTGAATGAGGGTAGAACTTAGGCTGAAGGACTTCCCACAATCACTACACTCATATGGCTTTTCTCCAGTGTGAACTCTCTGGTGTTGAATGAGGGCAGAGCTTTGTCTGAAGGACTTTCCACATTCACTACACTCATACGGCTTTTCTCCAGTGTGAATTTTCTGGTGTTGAATGAGGATAGAGCTTCGGTTGAAGGACTTCCCACAATCACAACACTCATAAGGCTTTTCTCCAGTGTGAATTTTCTGGTGTTTAATGAGGGTAGAGCTTAGGCTGAAGGACTTCCCACAATCACTACACTCATACGGCTTTTCTCCAGTGTGAACTCTCTGGTGTTGAATGAGGGCAGAGCTTTGTCTGAAGGACTTTCCACATTTACTACACTCATATGGCTTTTCTCCAGTGTGAATTTTCTGGTGTTGAATGAGGATAGAGCTTCTATTGAAGGACTTCCCACAATCACTACACTCATAAGGCTTTTCTCCAGTGTGAACTCTCTGGTGTCTAAGGAACTGAGATTTGCAGCTAAAAGATTTCCCACATTCACCACACTCAAAAGGTTTTTTTCCAGAATGAGCTCGGTGGTATTGAATAAGATTCTTGCATTGTTGAAAGCATTTCCCAAAAACGCTGCCCTCATCGGGCTTTCTCCCAGTGTAACCTCTCTGGTGTTCAACGAGGCCAGAGTTTTCACTGAAGGACTTATCATAATCACTAAACTCGTAAGACATTTCTTCAGTGGGAACTCTACTATGTTGAATAAGGTTACAGATTTGTCTAAAGGGTTTTTCGCATTTACTGCACTCATAAAGCCCTTCTCCCGAACAGAGACTTTGATGCTGAACACGGCTGTGATTGTGGCTGGAAGCTTTTTCATATTCAGCTAACTGGAGACTACTTTTTTCACCACGAAAGGCCTGCCCACTCTCAGTACAACTGTGTGGCTCCTTATTGATAGGACTGGCCTTGTGCTGGAGATAACCTGAGATGACTGGAAAGTGCCCCTCAACATCCCTACTGGTGAAAAGTGCCCCTGGTATACAGAAGCTGCATCTGGTCACAAACGAGGCCCTGTCCACATCTCCTTTCCAGGGCTTCTCTCCACTGGCATCCTTCTGTAGCTGGTGAACATTTGCAGTAAAACAGAAGTCTTTTACACAGGTGTCATTGAAGAATGATTTATGTTCAAGGTTGGCTGCTTGGAACTCAGTCAGTTGCAAAATATCTTTCAAGACAGAGACACACTGCTCACAAGGATGGTCCTTCTGGGTTGCTGAAGCTTCCTCGGAAGCACTGATCTGTGACCCTCCTACAGATACAAAGTGCTCAGAAGGGGTCTTCTCACCTTCCATTTTATGCCAACAACCTGGAAACAGAGAAATGCTGAGAAAATGCATAGTGACCTGGTGGGACGTGGAAGTCCCATAACAAAGGTCTGTCACAGAGAATATGATGGTTTCATTAAATTGTTTGAGAACAAGAGACCTAGAGGTAGGTTGAAAAAGAGGCAACTGTGCAGTACTGAACCTCTGAAGATCACCAAATAGGGGAGACCTTACTAAAAAAAATTAGAGATGGCATGCACCACATGGAAAGACGCAGGATCTCCCACTCATTGTTCTCCTAATAGCATTCAGCAGGGCTTGTCTACTGATGACAAGGGTGAGGTATGCAAATGTTTGATGATGTCCTTTTCCAGTAAAATTTAATACACGAGTAGCTGGTGTTTCAGTACTATTTAAGGATGCATGCAAACCTCATAACACATGCTCAGGTCAATGTTGGAGAATACTGCAGAGAGAGCAATGTAGAGGAACAGGCGATGCATGAAGGCCACAAAGGTGAAAGTAGCCAGGAGCTGGGAAGTTACAAATGATATGACAAGTCAGCAAAGTGTCAAGTATGGGGAAAAAAGGTAGAAATGAGGTGTGACCAGTGGCAAATGCATCAAAACACTATTGGATATTGGGGGGGGGGGGGTTCCTTGGTATGATCTGAACAGAGCCCTTATATCGTCATCTTTCCCCACAGCTGCCACTCTCCAGGGCCAGGCCTCCACTGAGATCATCTTGTTATGTCTACCCTGTGAAAAAAACCTGGGTACTCCCTGCACCTTCTATTGTTCAACTATTCAGAACTTGTATGATCCAAATCTTTTATTTTCTTTATTGGTTTTAGAGAGAGGAAGGGAGAAGGAGAAAGATAGAAACATCAATGAGAGAGAGAACATCAATTGGCTGCCTCTTGTACGCCCCCCCCCCCTTACTGGGGACTGGTCCCACAACCTGGGCATGTGTCCTAACTAGGACTCGAACCAGCAACCTCTTGGTGCATGGGTCGATATTCAACCACTGAACCACACCAGCCGGGCACATGATCTGAATTTAATGAAAGACAATAGAGGTGAGAGGGAGTCAATGGGGAGAAAAAGGAGAAACATCTGTAACAAAAATAAATTAATAAAAAAAGAAAAAAAGACGACAACAGAAGTGAGCAGCAGCATTGGGGCAGAACAACTCAGCAAACAATAGTATTCAGGAAAGTCTACTGCTCAGGGCATTCCACAAAGTTCAGCACTGGAAGCCACAGTACATATGACAAGAAAGTGGGGTGAAATTACCAGAGCCTATGATCTAGTTGTGGGACAAACAAAAATATGACTGGAGAATAAAAAGAGAAGGCAGAACATCACTTCAGGAAACTAGGAATGGTATGAAGGTCTTACCCACGGACGCTACAAGTGCAAAGATTTCCAGCATCACATCACAGTACAGAAGTCTCTGAGCCTCATCAAGGAGCGCCCACTCCTCCTGGGAGAAGGCAATGGCCACGTCCTCAAAGTTCATATCCTGTCACAATGGAAACAGTTTATTCCATGATAAGTTTCTCTCCTAAGATCCCAAGTTCATCCTATCCCCCACTCTACATAGTCATGTGCTTCTATTACTCCCCACCTCAGAGAAGATACCAGGCCTTGATTCCATCAAGTCACTCTCTCCTTATATTCTCATTGATTCATTGGATTTCCATAAAAATAATAGGCAAATGGGCAGACAGATAATATCAGAACCCTGAGGCTGGAATGTAGGCCACACTGCTTATGGTCTATTAATATGACGTTTTGTCACTATCACTGCTTAGAGAGAGAAGTTGGTCACAGAGACGGTGTGAATGACTCGACACTGATCTTGTCAGGCACTACTCCTGCAGTCCCCTTGTCCCTCCAAGAAACAAAAAACATGGCCTCACCCTTCACCTTATGACCCCAATCCCAGGGCCCTGAGGCCATCTGATTACACTACCCTCTGCACATAATTCTTTGAACCACACCTCTCTCACACAGCAACATTCCCAGAGGCACAACTATAAAGGTAACAGAGCCCTGCCATGACAAGGACACTGTTTCTTGATCAGCTTCTTACCCAGGATTCTAATTTTACCACCTCCTTAATCTATCTCCTGCTTACTATCTCACTTCTCCATTCCAGTGGAGATTTTCAAGTCCATGTGGCCCCAATCTTTGCTATCTCATCAAGGTCTTACTGATCACTGTAATGCCCCTCAACAATAATAAAGAGGTGGGAAGATACGTGGCATCTACTCTCTGGGCCTGACATGTAGCACCACAACACCCTGTCTTTTCAGGCATTTTATCTAAAATTCCCCATATCGTATCATCTAGAAACCACCAAAAATGGACTCACCTCCTTTCACTCTTATGTCAGTGCCAGGGCCCTAAACCATAAATTCACATTCCCTCTCCAAGTGCACATCACTCTTCCTATCACAACTGCACTCCCACAGCCCCAGACTCCTTGTGCCCCGAACCAGTCATCTCCTTGGTCTCTCTACTTGTTATTCAGCATATGTGGTCCAGAGAATGCCTGGCACATTCAAACTGGGTCAAGTGGTACCCAGAGTCTTATGGTTGCCACAGACAGAGGATATCTTAAGTTCTACTATGAAGAACTCCCATCTTGACTGTTCCTTGCTTCACCCTCACCTACTGAGAACCACATCAAACTCAGATATCCACAGCCCTCCTCCACCGGAGCTGCACCTGATGTCCCTCCACCAATTATAGCTGTCCTCTCTTCACCTCACCCTCACTCAAGGCCCAGTCCGGATGGCACTCTGCCCCATGACCAGTGAGTCTTATAGATGACTACTTATGCCCTTGAGCTAATCTTCCAGCCTCACTGCAACACCCAGGACACACTAAAGGTCACAACAAAATCCTGGGGAGTTTTTAGAGCAGTGAATACAAAGCAGCACCCAACTCACCTTGTATGAATTACTCTTAGGCATCCAAGCCATCTTATGTCCACTAATCCCTTGAAGGCCTTGGCAACTTACCAAACCATCCTCTCTCCCCCACCCATGACCACTTCTGTTCCTAAGCTGTGTTGTGACACTCCCCTCCCACAATCATGGGCCCCATCAGGAAACCCAGTCTTCAGGCCAATCCTCTTCTTCCTGAAGTAGCACTATCACTGTTATGCTGATCATTATTCCCAGTATTTATACTCTCAACTATTTTACTTAGCACAGTCAACAGCATTCCGAAGAATCCTGTCTCAGACCATCTTGCAGATACAAATTCATGCTAGGTACCTGCAGTGGCCCACTGTGCCTAACCAGCACTTTGGTTTGCATCAGGTGAACTTTGGTGAATTTCGCTTGAAATTCCCGACCTCCCTGTTTTAAGGTAAGAGTCTGTAATTTTATTTTGAGTTATTTGTTTTTTGTTTTTTTTTTTATCATTTTCTTTTGTTTTGAATCCTTAAGATAGAACTCAGGCTAAGTCGGGACTGGAGGAAAAACAAGTGGCTGGTTTTTAACTTTGGCTTTTCTTTATTTCTTTATTTTTATCCCAATTTTTATTAATTTATTTTTGTTATAGATGTTTCTCCTTTCCCACCCCCAGACACCCTCCTCCCCATCCCACTCCCCCAATCCCCCCCCCCCCCCAGCATTGTTGTCTATGTCCACTGGTTATGTATACATGCATATAAGTTCTTTGGTTCATCTCATCCATCCCCACCCACCCCCCTCCTCTGAGGTTTGTCAGTCTGAACCATACTCCTTTCTATGTCTCTGGGTGTATTTCGTTCATCAGCCACCTTGTTCATTATGTTCCACAAATAAGTAAGACCGTTTGGTATTTGTCTTTCTCTGATTGGCTTATTTCGCTTAGCATAAATAAAGTCCCTCCATGTTGTCTCAAAGGATAAGAGATTTTTCTTTCGTACAACTGCATAGTATTCCATTGTATATATGTACCACAGCTTTTTTATCCACTCATCTATTGATGGACAGTTGGGCTGTTTAAAGATCTTAGCGATTGTAAATAGTGCTGCTATGAACATAGGGATACATATATTCTTTCTGATTTGTATTTCAGGCTTCTTAGGATATAGTCCTAGAAGTGGGATCACTGGGTCAAATGGCAGTTCAATTTTTAATTTTTTGAGGAAACACCATACTGTTTTCCATAGTGGCTGTAACTTTGGCTTTTCAATTGGAATTGCTTTCTGAGAGTCTGAACAAAACCCTTTTGCTGAATAATGAGAGAGCCTTGACTCCTTTGGCTCTGAAGATATGGTGTACTTTCTACCTCTACCCTGAATCTCGGATACTAGGGGACTAAGAAAATCTCTGTGGAAGTGTCAGGGGGTATTCCCCACAATGTGTAGGAGCTCCATAGGGAATTCTAACTAGAGGGTAACTAAACAATTGACTTGTCAGGGAACATGCACATAAAGGTTGGTGGTCACCTAGCATTCTGAGTCTTCACGGCTGTATAAGACGCTCAGGAGAGAAACTGAGGCACGTTAAGAGGATTCATGCAACTTGGGAGGTGTCAGCCCCGTAAGCTCAACCCGTAAGCAGCACACTTCAACCCGCTACACAATATCATTAGAAATTTTTTCCTACTCTATAGATGATAAAATAAAACTGAAATTAACATGAAAAAGTCTGCCTTTAAAGAGGAAACACCCAGCCCCCATTAATATTTCTGGTAGAAAGCATTTACTTGCAACTACTTTTCAGAAATGGGAAAGTTTATTTAACTGGTCATGATATCAATTTAAAATGGCCAAAATGTAGTTTTCTTTGGGCACTGAGTTAAATTTTTTTGCATGCAAAATTAGAAAATGCCAGCTCTAAAATTAAACTAAACTAATGGAAAGCATATTGTGATTTGGAAATTAGAATGTTCTAGGAGAAGCACAGATAAATACTTAAAGAAAAAAGTTAGCCCCGCTGGTTTGGCTCAGCAGTTACGGTGTAGGTTCGAGGACCAAAGGGTGAAAATTACTAAGGTCCCTCAAATACTGGGGGTATTTTATCTGTTCTTAACCACACCTAACTAAGCTGGAGTAAAGCTTCCTTGCAAATAAATGTTAGGGATATCTAATCAATGGATATCTGTTTTTATTTATTTATTTATTTATTTATTTATTTATTTATTTATTTATTTATTTATTTTTATACTCACCTGAAGACATTTTTTGCATCTATCTTCAGATAGAGTGTAAGGGAGAGAGGGAGGACGAGAGAGAAAGAAACATTGATGAGATAGAGAGACACACCGAGTGGTTGCCACCCACGTGACCCCAACTGGGGCCGGGGTAAAAAATGCAACCCCAGGTAAGTGCCCTTAGCAGGAACAGAACGCAGGACTCTCTAGTCCGCAGGCCCATGCTCTAACTGCCAAACTGGCCAGGGCATTATCTGTTTTTAAATCAGAACCTGTCCCCTTTTGCCCTGGCCAGTTTGGCTCAGCAGTTGAGCGTTGGCCTTTGGACCAGAGTCCTGGGATCGGTTCCTGCTAGGGGCACGTACCACAAAAAACAAACAAACAAACAAAAACCATGCTCTTAAAAAAAAAAAAAAAAAGAACCTGTCTCCCCTTTTAACTGGGAATGTTACAGGGCAATATACATATTTGCTAATCAAATCTATCTCAATTCACCTGACAGGGAAAGACTGTCTTGAAACTAATGATGCTCACATATCCTTTTTTCCAGAAGGGTGAAATGTACTTACAAATAAGTAAATCAACTACTGAAACTATTGGGAAAATAATAATTTCAAAGGAACTGTCAAAAGACTGGATTGTTATAAGACAATCCAATGCAACTTCAGGCGTTTTCTGTCACCAATATACTTTATGCATTAGGTGGAACTAAGCCCAAAATACAAAATTAATTTTAAAAAGGGACACAATTTATCTATTACAACAGCTAGCTATAAAAGCACAGAAGGTCTCAAAAGATAACCTTCAATTTTGCTCACCTCAAGTAAAATACCTTAATCATCTCATATCTAAAAACCCTCATATCTAATGAATCCTGACAAACTTAGAAGAATACTATCTTTTCCTCTTCCAAAAACAAGAAAGCAGCTTAGAGGATTACTTGGTTTGACTGGATATTGTCACAACTGTGTTTCAAACTTTTCATCAATGACCCAGCCTCCATATGTCCCATTAAAATTAAATTGACCTGCCCTGGCTAGTTTGGCTTAGAGGTTAGAGCATCGGTCCAGGGACTGAAGGGTCTCAGGTTCAATTCCTGGTTAGTGTGTATAGGGGTTTCGGGTGCAATCCCTATCTCCTATTGGGAGTTGTGCAGGAGGCAACCAATCAATGTGTCTCTTTCACATCAATGTTCCTCTCTCTTTCTCTCTTCCTCCCTCCCTTACACGCTATCTAAAAAATAAAAAATAAATAAATTTAATTAAAAATTTGACCTAATCCGCTTCAGTGGAACCCAGAAAGGAAACAAACTATACAAATCTCTGAAGAAATACTTAAAGCCCCCTCTCTAAAATACCTTAATTA